CAAGCACTGGAACAGGCTGCCCAGGGAAATGATGGACTCGCCATCCCTGGAGGTGTTCAAAAAACACATAGATGTGGCACTTCAGGGCATGGTTTAGTGGGTATGGTGGTGTTGGGTTGACAGTTGGACTTGATGATCTTAGAGGTCTTTTCTAACCTTAATGGTTCTCTTCTCTTCACAAGTGTGTTATAATCAGGTCTGAATTTTGAATAGATAATTACTTTTCATTGATAACTAATTGCTTTTAATGAACACCTTAATTGCTTTAATGAATAGCTAACGTTTTGTATTGATTTCCTGATTTGATCAGTTTACATTATAGTAAGAAATATACAAAACCTCACTTATGCTAAGAGACAGCAGATGCAGGCCTTACTAAGAAGGTCAAAGCTAAAGCTGCTGTGGATTGTGAAATTGTCCAGAACACAGAACAGGGAGACAGGTACAGGGAGTGAAAGTGCACATTCTTAGCATGTTTTCTTATCTTATGTGATGAAACCATAGAAACAAAGGAATGTTAACGTGAAGACCCTCACATCCTCCCCATCCTAATTTGTATATCAGATTTTGATCAGTAAGATAACCAATGATTATATTAGTATAGGAATATTAATGAAGATATTTAATAGGGTGGACCAATCATTGTAAATGTCAAAATTATTAGCGGACATAACATGCACGCTTATGTTAAAATATGTTAAAGATCATGACTTTGCAGAAGAAGAATATAAAATGCTGAAATTTTAATTTAACTTTGAAGCACGTCAGGTGGAGCTATCCCCTGTGCTTCCCAGCACTGCAATACAGAAGTGCCGGCTTATCTACAACTGTGTAGGTAAGTTTGTCATGATTGCGATCTTCTGTCAACAAGTGGGCATTGCCAAATGGACCCTTGCCTTCATCATCCACCCCATTCGTGTTAACAAATCCAGATGTTCTCCAAATGCGCGTGAGTTCAAGATAGTCAATCTCACCCAGATTCTAAAGTGGTTATACAGGATGGCAGAAATCTCATTTTCTTCACCTAAATGCCGCTAACAGTGCTTAGCTCATGAAGATAAGTGGGGTTTTCTGTTTATCCCTTGTCTAGCAAAGAAGATTTGGTGTCTTAACCACAGGGGCCTGGAGCAGTAGTCATCTTGCAGGGTTTCAGTACTTCTCACCTTGTCCTTAGAGCTGGTCTTCTAGAGTCAGGGGTCGTTCCAGATCTGATACCACCCGAGGAGGATCACAGTTTTTAGAGTAGTTCTCTGAAACCATGAGCTCGGTGCTTAGCTACAGGAAAAGGATGCAAGGAAGATAGGACACAGTTCTAAACTTGTGTCGCTTCTGCTTCTTGAGTACTGAGTGAGGTTCAGGTACTTCCCTCCACTCCATCCCAAAGAGAGAGAGGGGCCTGCAGAGCTGGAGAATAATGCAGGGAAAGACAGTCGGCATGAGCAGAGGAATGGCGTGATTTACACATGTGGAGTAGTTAAATGGATGAGGACTCTTCACCCTGGAAGAGAAGTGTCTCCCCTGACTGAGGGGAGAGATAAGTCTGTGAAAGTATGACTGGCTTGAAAAGAACAAATGGGAAACGCATGTTAAGTATGGGTAGTGATAGTTATAAACTGCAAAGTTCATTACCATGGGATATGCTGGGTGCTGAAAGATTGTGTGGGTTTAGAAAGCAAATGAAGGAAAACTCTACTGAGGGTTATTAGGTGCAGGAAACACCACCTCTGCTTCCAAAGTCCTTGAAGATGCTTTCCAGCTTCTGCTGTTCCCTAGACGTGTTGTTGACCATTGTCAGAGAAGGATGAGGTGGACCTTTGGTCTGTCTCAGTACAGCTTTGTATATTCTCCTTTCTTTCATGGGAGGTAGTTTCTTTTGCCACAGAAGAATACAGGTGGTAGAAACTAAAGTAGTTGTGGAAAGCTGTAAGTCTTTTGAACACAGGTCTGTAGCTCAGTAAGCTGTGTGTGCTGGGCGAGCCTGCCCAAAGAGTGTGAGTTACTGTGAGTTTGATGTATTACCTGTCCTCCCACTGGCCACTATTGGACATAAGGCACAGAACTAACCAGATTAATCTTTGGATTGCCCCAGTACAGCAATCCTTACTGAGTTCTGCAGTATTTCTGGGCAGGCTTGGGTTTTGGTCACAGACTCTGGGTTTAATTGGTGTCAGCCATAATTTATATAGTGCTGAAGGGTTTAAGTAACACCTTCTGCTCACATGTATTTGAATTTAAATCCCTATTATTTAAAGATTTGATTGCCTTGGGTTTTGTTAATAATGAATTTTAGAAAAGTCTGTTGAAAAGCATAAATGAGAAGAATAATCTGGCTCTGTCCTCTTCAAGAAAGCAGCTTAAAATTAACCTAATTTTTCTTAATAAATTGATTTTTTCACTGTTCTTTAAATGTTATATTAATTATGTTTAAGACTGGACATTTGACTAACAGCCCTATGTGTCTGTTTCACACTCCACTCTAATGTGAATTCATTTTAGAGGCAGTGGTGCTTCTTGGTATCTGCAAAGTTTGAATTGTCTCAAGACCTAGAGACACGACAGGTAACTTTTCTTCTGCACCACCTTTATGTTTTAAATGGTACAGCTGTTTGTTCTACAGAGGATTTTAAGAGTTGTTCCCTCCTATTCTTGGGTACTACATGTAAAATATTCTACAAATATTTCTTTGCCTCTTGAATGCTCATGTTTCTCATTTTGTCATTTGAAGGTTGAGGATCTTTAGATGGTAAGTGTCACAGTTTTTGTTGGGGTTTTTTTGAGAAATGGTGTTTGCTATTATTAACTGTGCATATTATGCCTGTTTTCTTAGCAAGTAGTTGCTTTGTAACTACATCCCAATGTGTTGTCCATACTTGAAGAAAGCTATTGCCTGATCATTCCACTTTTCTTTGTCTTTCTCAGTTCTGTGCCAATGACCCTGAAGTGTTTGTCCAGGCAGCACTGTTGGCTCAGGATTATTGTGATGCCATAGACCTAAATTTGGGTTGCCCCCAAATGATTGCAAAGAGGGGTATGTGCAAATCTGAACCCTGGATGAACAGAGAAATGACGTATTTCAAATGTGATTGAAAGGCAGTAAAACATCAAAAGGACCAAATTAAGCCTTGGGGGGGGTGTTGTGTTGGGGCGCGTGGCTGCAGTACTGCTGAAGTCAGGCTTAGTTACACCCACTTTCACAGGTAATACTTTTGTAGTACCTGAAGCAAAAATTAGATATACTAAGAATTAATTCCAACTTCTCTTGAGTGACAGCTCTTGTGTCTAGAATGTCCTTCAGAAAAAGTACTTTTAGCAAGAACTTGATTTCCTTGCTGATTTCAGTTGCTCGAACAGCCTAATTTTGCAAAACTGAATTTAAAATTATGTCATGCAGGCACTCGGCACCTCCTATTTCCTTGGTACTTGCACCAGATTTATTTACGTTAGTGTATAAGAGGCTAGCACCTGCTGACTCCCTTCAAGATACTGCAAAGATAGCTATGTTTCAAAATCAAAACCAGAACCAGTGTTTGAAAATTTTGGATCAGTTAGGATGTTGAGGAAACATTTGTTCAGTAACTGCCCATTCCTCTTCTAAAATATCTTTCAAAGACTAATAGGAGGTGATCAGTGGTGTACAGGGCAAATAGATCTGTCAATCTGATCAGGGTTTATCCTGAAAGGAATTTTTGAACACCTGGCATAAACACCTGAAAGTTGGACTTTGAGCTGCCAGTGTCAACACACCAGCCTTAGGGAGCAGCAGTGAAAGTAGGGTGTGGGGATTCATTGTTTATCCTGTAACTCTGGGGTGGCATGGGGAACAGAATGATCCAACTCTTACAGTTTGGGCAGGACAGAGCAACTGTGTTTCTGCCAGTAAGGCATATGAGTGTCTGGATCTTTGTATGTGAATGTTTACGGAAGCCATGTGCTTCAGAATGTTTCTCTTCTGTACAAGACACTAATACGCTATTTTATTATAGGTCACTACGGAGCATTTCTGCAAGAGGAGTGGGATCTTCTTCAGAGAATGAGTAAGTCTTTAGAGAGGCTTCACTTTGAGAGGGAATGGGATGAACTCGTCATTGAGAGAAGGTTTAGGGATTTGAGGGGAAAGGAGGCACAGCATGTTTCACGTTCAACTCAGCGTACTCTTAACTGTCCGCACCATAGCAAGTTGTGCGTCTCTTCTAATTTGTCAAGGATGTTTTCAGACTCTCGGTAGCAGTTGTGAACAGTATGGTATTATTTTAAGAAATACGTTCAGAACTGATTTAAAAAGCAAGGTTTGGGTCATTGTGTAGAGCTGAAAATGTCCCTTCACTCAGCTTCCAAGCAAGTGTCTGAACTGTTAAGTTAAAGAGCCTTACTTCTGTTTGCATTCCCTGTGGTCCGGGGAATCTTGAATGATGTTCGGCACAAAGACACTGCGGAGAACTTGGAAAGATAGGCAGTGCTTCCCTGGCCAGCATGTAATATTGTTGTTAGGGCACTTTTCTTAGGAGTGAAAGATGCAAATCAGAACAGCCTCAAGGTGAGAAGAGAACCCAGGTCATCTAGTTGGGTGAGAACCCAGGCTGGCTAGTGAGCGAGTTGTCGTATTAGGCTATTGTGTAAAAGGTGGGCAAAGCTTCATCTTCCTCCTTCTCCCCAGCCTTCTTTAAAATGGTGGAATACTATTTTCTGCTTGCACCTGTATACACTTTACTTGCTCCTTTGAAAGGGTGATAGGAAGTACCTATCATTAGAGCTCCTGGGATTAGAAGACAGGAGGTGACTTCCTGCATTATACATCCAAGTTCTGGAAGAGAGTTTCAGGCATGCCATTGCTCAGTGTTTTCCTGTTGGCTGTCTTCATTAGCTCTCTTTTTAGTAGTTTTCCGATTCTGTGCACTGTGTAAAGACTATAGGAGTTTAACATGTTGTTCTAGATTTTACCCTGACTCTGTAACCTACATTTACTACTTATTTGGATCCACAGCCTACCTCAGTGGATAAGCCTCTGCTTGCCTTGGACAAGACTCTACTTGTCGCGGTTATTTGGGTGAAATTTGGAAAGAAGCAAAGTGTCTCTTGTAGGAAAAGTGGACAAACAAGTGTTAATGTTGTTGGCAGAGTAGGAGGAGTACAATAGCCTGTGATGATAGCGAACCTGTATCAATGATTAAGATTTGAGGGGAGTGGTCCTTGAAGGTGAAGGTTGTGAAACTGAAAATGTTAGGGCTATTAAATGGTGACTGTTTTATTCCTTCTTGTTAGAATGCAGATTTCGTGCTTCATGTTTTAGTATTACTTGATTAACCTATGCAATAAGGATTACAGAGGACATTGCTGATTGTTTAAGCTGTGAGAACTGCGTAGCATTAACTTTTCAGGCTTTTTCCATACCACACCCACTATCAGATCATGAAGAGAGTAGGCACTTTTCATAGCATTGTGCAGCCCACTTACCTGTCTTTTCAATCTTTCCCAGTTTTACTGGCTAACGAGAAGCTCTCTGTTCCCATCACATGCAAAATCCGCGTTTTCCCAGACATTGACAAGACAGTGAAGTATGCACAGATGCTGGAGAAAGCTGGCTGCCAGGTAAGGAGGCAGCTGCTCCCTGTACTGTTGCATTGGACACAATGTGTAAAGCATCTGATGACCAGATCTTGGTGTACTGTGGAGATGAATAGGCTACATTATTTTACAGACGGAGAAAACGGGATGCAGAGAGATTGTATGAATTTGCAGTCACAGGCAGCAGGTCAATAGTATGAGACGGAAGACATCATGTTTTCAGAGTCTGTCTTGTGATCACTGCATCCTTCACAGTGGCTGAGCATCTCAGTCTATCATAGTGCTGCAGGAGGCAGTGTGAATGCATGAAATCCACAGGGCTATAGAATAAAACAGTATGGAAGGTGACCACCACTAGTGAAGAAACAGGCAGCCTTCTAGGATTTAAGTCCAGTTAATTTGGAAGAGATGGTCTGTGGTTAGAGCCAGCACTGAGGGTATTCAGGCCTTCTGCTGAGGAGCAAGCCAGTTCAATGTATCACAAATGGCAGCCGATGCGGTAGGAAATCTGTCTGTAGGTTCTCCCAAGATATGATCTTGTCATGCTGTGGAATAGCAAGCTGAAAGAAGCCCAAAAGCATGCCATGGTAGGTGAGCTGCTGATACCTTTCTGTGGTACCAAAGTCCCTGCACTGTTGAAATAGCAGTGGGAATTCAGTGGCATCCGTGAAGTGTATGGGGTGAAAGGAAATTTTTGTCGGTGGGTTTGTGCAAAGGCTTCATGCACATGAAGAGTAAATGTAGCTTTGTGTTCTAGCTGCTGACTGTGCACGGCCGTACTAAAGAACAGAAAGGACCACTTGCTGGCGTGGCGTCTTGGGAGCACATTCAAGCTGTCAGGTTAGTGAGCAGTACCGATCTTAGTGGATTTCTGCTAACACGCTATGAGGGTAGATTTTAAGCAAAGTGTGCAGTGGCATTGAAGAGCAAACAAATCTGTGACAGGAGTAGAATTTCTGAGTTAACTCTAATTCTCCGTTTTATGCATCTGTTTTATTCACTGGTATAGAAAAGCTGTAAGCATTCCTGTGTTTGCAAATGGAAACATCCAGTGTCTCAGTGATGTGGAAGAATGTATCCGTAAGACAGGAGTGCATGGTGTCATGAGTGCAGGTAAAGAAAATGAACTTTCACTCATAACAGAAGAGAATATGAACTGTTTCTGACTCTCTTAGCAGCCCCATATACATTTATTAAAAGCTTACGTCAGACTGACTCAGTGAACAGCTTTGATTGAAAGCTAAGCGGCCATTCTCTCTGCTCTTAGACTGGTGCAGTAAGTGTGTCTGCTGATTAGTATTCCTGCAGATAGTCCATGTTGGGCTGGGACAAGAAAGAACTGGCATAACTTCCTACAAGAAGAGCTAGGATAGACATCAGAAAAAGCTTTCCATCACTCACACAGTTAAAGCAATGAAACATTTTCAGGGGGGTTGTAGGATCTTATTTTTAGAAAATACTGGTTAACAAAAGGTTTGTGAAGCTAATAGAGAAGCGCATAGTGAAAAGCAGTATCTGTAAACTTAGGCCAGACAAATATGAATACAGACATAAAGTAAGACACTCATTGTCCAAGTATTTAACCACTGGGCAAGAAAAGCAGTGATTTCTCTATTTGTTAAATTTTTTTTTTCTATCTCTGTGTCAAGATTGGATGCCTTTCTGGAAAATGTGCATTCATTAGATATGAGCTATTTGGCGCAATTAAAAATTGTGTAATGAAATACAATATCCTGAGGTCAGGCTGGAGTTTTATGGACCCCATGTTCCTCTTTGTGAGTACATGGGTGATGTGTCTGTGACTGGCTGGTAGAATCACAACAGAGCTGATCAAGCTCCAGAGCCTACATTTTGTTTTCTGTTTCAATCCTGAAATGAAAGTTTGAGTATTTCTTTTCATTCCCTAGAAGGTAATCTTCATAACCCAGCTTTGTTTGAGGGCCGAAACCCATTGGTGTGGGAGATGGCTGAGGAGTATCTGGAGATAGTGCAGAAGTACCCTTGTCCATTGTCTTATGTTAGGGCTCATCTCTTCAAGCTCTGGCATCACACGTGAGTATCTCCAGAGAACTCTTAATGTTTTCAGGGCTCCTCCTGCTTAGCAAGTGTCTAGCTTTTCTGAACAAGGATTTGTTTGGCCAGAATTAGTATGCTGCAAGGTTTTCTTTCCTTTCTTACCTGGCTGGAGAGAAGGTGGGCTGAAGCCTTTTACCCTTCACTGTGTATCTGGGAAACAGGGCATGGGGAATGAACAAGTTACCACAAGCTAAGCTAGGGCATGAGCTCACAGCACATCAGCTACCATGTGGTAATTGCCCGTATGCCCACATCCACTTTATGGCAAACATGAGTTAACTAACTCCTTGTTCAGTGTGAGGCAAGCTGTCTTGCATTTATTGTGGAGTAACAGCATGCCCATGGGCAGTTACTGAGGAGCAGCTGATGTACAGTGCGTTCATATTACCTTATCTCAAAGTACCTTGGTTGTTTGCCAAGTATTTAGTTGGCAAAGAGGAGCAGGTATGTGTGCTTTTCTGTGGGATTACAAGAAAGAAAATAAGCTTCTACCAAAAACAAGTGCAGCAAGAAAAAAATCTATAAAAAGCTTTTATAAAGACATTTTTAGTTGTCTCCTCAGTCTAGCAATAATGAATAAATACGACTTGATGTTTGGGATTTGCCTCAGGCTTCAAGTTTACCAGCAGCTGCGTGAAGAACTAGCAAAAGTGAAGACTCTAGAGGGCATTGTAGACGTCAACAGGGAGCTGAAACTACGATGCCAGGTACCAAGATGGGCCCTAATCTCCCAGAACATCACTGTCCACACTTGGTGGGAACTTACCGTGTATGTCATGCAGTTAGTGTCCGTTAGTCATTTCATTGGAACTTTGTGGCTTACCAGCCTTGATATTGGTAGTTTACTACAGTGGCAACCCCTTAAGCCTGAACAGCTTTACACGGGATAAAGTTGATTTAGGAGTTACAAATCTGCTTCAATTAATCTGTCATAGTAGAGGGGTTTTGCCTATATTTAACTGTCAGTAACTGTTAGTTTAAATTCCAATTTGTGGTTTCCTGGAGTTTGAAGTATTATTTAGAGTATTTCCTGAGAACTCCAGGAAAACTGACTGTTACTCTATGCTGCAGGAAGAAATAGCTAATCAGAAGGAAGGAGAAAAGCCAAAAGAAGGGTTGCCTTTTTTCCACTGGATCTGTCAGCCATACATCAGGCCAGGGTGAGTTATCTGTTCTAACATGGACAGGTGTCAATAGGCCTTTCCCACCCCATCAGTATAGAGCCATCAACTTCTGTTCTAGGAGCTTATATTCATTTGAAAATAAGTGAAGACTTTGGATTATTTTTATTCTGGTTTGGTTTTTTCCTGGTTATTGCTTTGTTCGTGAGGATGTTGCTCATTGTATGCATCTTCTTTAGTTCCTCATCAGATTGCTCTCTCTCTGGAAAGTAAAAACCAAGAATTCCACTGGAACTCAGAAGGAGAATCTGATGAGCAGCAAATACGCTACCTGACAGTACCTTATTGCTATATGTAACATGAATATTGCTGGTAGCTGCCAGGGTAGCAAAGACTGGGACTAAATTGTATTCTATAAAGGATGCTTCTGTTGTATGGACTAGCTTTTCAGATAGCTTATTCTCTTCCTGTTGTGAAAATTGGGTTGAAGAGGAGAATGGGTGTGTCAAGATTAATATTTCAGTAAATACTTAAGCAGATTAAGTAAAACCTGGGAATAACAGGTTAAGAGGTGCCTAATTGAACTGGACAATTTTCAATGACTTTCCAACCAATATATCTGACAGTGTGTCTGTTAACAGCCAATGTTAACAAAAAAGTGAGGTTTTTCTATTCCACTTCTAAGGCTTCAATGACGCTTCCTTGTAATTTAGCCATGATAGAAAGGTTTACAGTTTACCCAGATTTCTGTAAACCAGAATAGTGACCAGAGAACACCTACTTCTTCCCTTCAGCCAACTTGTGATGATGTTCACTGTTTCAGGCCAAAGGAGAGATGCAAGGAGAATGGAGCCAGTGGGACTGAAAAAGGTGTGCGAGGGAAACGTGCTCTGGAAGAGGAGGAAGATGGAAATTCTGAGCTTCTGTCAAAGAATAAACAAAAAAAAAAGTTAAGAAATCCAAATAAAAGCTTTGATCCATCTTTAAAACGTAAGTTCTGTTTATTGGCATACATGCATAGAAAGTTGTTGATATCACATTTGACATAAATTGCCACTATTTATTTTCCTTGTTTATGTAGTTGTAGAAACTTTAAAAAGGGGGGGGATTGTCGGGAAATTTCGGTAGTAGGCAATGCGATTTAAATTATGTTCATTAGTAAAGAAAATAAGGATCAAAGAAGTGGGTCACTGATCCACTATAAGCATCTTTTTAAGATCAAAATGCTTTACAAACTAAATTGTAGCTGTCACTAGTATTTGAAATTGAAGTTTCGTATGCATTTCAAGTAGATGTCCTCTTTTACACTTGACTTGAGGATTAAAGTTTTCTGTGTTTGGGTTTAGCTTAGAGGTACTAAAAAAAGTCAAAGTGTCTTTACCTTTGCACTGAGGTACTGTACTTTTATTTCGAAAAGAGTCTCTGGCTAGAAAAGTGCCAAGCTTTGTCTGATTCTGATTTTTTTTTTTTTTTTTTAATTCTCTCACATTAAAATACCGTTGCTGAAATCTGTTCTCTCTCTCTCTCTCTCTCTCTCTCTCTCTCTCTCTCTCTTTCTCTTTCTCTCTCTTTTCCAGCCAAATATGCAAAATGTGATCAATGTGGAAACCCTAAGGTAAGTCACTGCCAGTGTCCATTACAGCATTTCCATTAGATGGAAATTAAAGGACCATGTAGTGGTCCATGGCTCAATGTCCAGAGGGAGATCAGTGATGACTGGTGTCCCTCAGAGGAGGGACCACTGCTGTTTAGTATCTTCATTAGTGACGTAGACGGTGGGATCGAATGCACACTCGGGAAGTTTGCTGACAACACCAAGCTAAGTGGTGCAGTTTACACACCTGAGGGATGGGAGGCCATCCAGAGGGACCTGGACAAGCTTGAGAGGTGGGCCCGTATGAACCTCATGAGGTTCAACAAGACCTAGTGCGAGGTCCTGCACCTGGGTTGGGGCAACCTCCAGTATCAATACAGGCTGGGGGATGAAGGGTTTGAGAGCAGCCCTCCCGAGGACTTGGGGGTACTGGTGGATGAAAAGCTGGACCTGAGCCGGCCTTCTGAGGCCAGCCGTATCCTGGGCTGCATCGAAAGCAGCGTGGCCAGCAGGTTGAGGGAGGGGATTCTGCCCCTCTACTCCACTCTGGTGAGACCCCTCCTGCAGTGCTGCATCCAGTTCTGGGGCCCCCAGCACAAGACAGACATGGACCTGCTCGAGCGGGTCCAGAGGTGGCCATGAAAATGCTCAGGGGGCTGGAGCACCTCCCCTGTGAGGACAGGCTGAGAGAGCTGGGGCTGTTCAGCCAGGAGAAGAGAAGGTTCTGGGGAGACCTTCTAGCGGCCTTCCAGTGCTGACAGGGGGCCTATAAGAAAGATGGCTACAGGCTTGTTAGTACGGCCTGTTGCAATAGGACAAGGAATAATGTTGTTAAACTAAAAGAGGGTAGATTCAGACTAGATATAAGGAAGACATTTTTTACAATGAGGGTACTGAAACACTGGCACAGGCTGGCCAGAGAGGTGGTAGAAGCCCCCTCCCTGGAAACATTCAAGGTCAGGCTGGACGGGGCTCTGAGCAACCTGATCCAGCTAAAGGTGTCCCTGCTCAGGGGATTGGACTGGATGGCCTTTGGGGGGGGTCCCTTCCAGCCCAGACTATTCTATGATTCTATGAATAACCGCACCAATTACTCAAATTCTCAGTCCTTGCAGAAGAACACCACCCACCACTAACCCTAGTAAGAGGGGTTTTGTTTTTACTTTCACAGTAGAATATACATGTGTAATTACTGGAATTTTGGAGATTTGTTTCCAAGACATCTTGGGAAGTTCATCTAACTCGCCACCCTCACAGTGAAGATGTTCCTTACAGCTAATCTAAATCCACCCTCTTTCAGTTTGAAGCCATTACTCCTTGTCCTATCACTACATCCCCTTGTAAAACATTATTGGTGTACTAGTACAAGTACTTTAAACATCATCACAGTATAGTCTTTAGTGAGCGTCAGGCAGGAATCTGCGGGTCTGTTTTTGTTGGCTTTTGGCTGTATGCTCTTAATCAGAATGAGAATGAGCACTTGGTCATTCTCTGCTCTGTTTTTGCTAGCACATTAACATCAGCTTTCACCATTAGCAATGTTAAACAAGCCAGCAGTTTTCCAGGTTGTGTGTAGCATATATATTTGAAATGTCAAATATTTTGTATTTGAAAAGAGTTCATTGGGGTTTTTTGTTTGTTTTCCCTTGGGGAACATAGCTGTTTCCTTGACAGGGAGCTGTTGCTGAGTGAGCAGACTGTATTTATTGCTGCTAATATACCTGTGTATCGAGACATACAAGCAGAATAAGGCGCAAAGAGTAATTTTGTGTTCTAGCTGAAAAAATAGCATTACAGCTATGGGGCTGGGAAGACAGGGACACACACGCATGTGGCTTTGCTCTCATTTGTAACACTATTGGAGCACCTTGGAAATAGCCGCCAGCTGGGGCTGAGGTTGGAGCGGCAGCTACAGAATAAAATGGTTTTTTTGCTATGTTCATTATTGGGAAAACATTGAGCATTCATCTGGCCTGCTTTCAAAACCATCCTGTTCCATAGCTAATCCACACGACAGCGTGGTGTGTCAACCATGATTGTCTGAAGCTGGGCTTAGTCTCATTTTTTGTTTGCTCTTAATGTTGCAGGCAGCCCTTGAAATCTTGCGGCTAGCCCTGGTAGTGGGTTTTGTGTGTGTTTGTTTGTTTTTTTTCCCTAGATCGGGGGCGGGGGGGGGGAATGGGACAGATGGTGCGCAGGGAGAGAGCAAGAACACCAACAAAAAAATTCAACCAAGGGCTTTCTAAACATGAAGGAATGGGGTGGAGGGAGACACCAAACCACACAACCCCACTTTCCTAAATGATCACTGAGCATGTGTGAGCCAAAGCACCACAGACACCCAGGCAAGTATAGGCAAGCGTTCAGCTATCCCAGCCTCAACTGCTGCTGTCCCCTAAGGGTCAGACTTATTTTACTATATGCTCAGGTATATTTTAAACTGCAAGTAGGGAAGTAATTGCTGTGGTAACATTTATTTTAGGAGTAGCTACAGATGGTGGCAAGCATGTCAGGCACTATGTTTCACATACTACTTTTGCAGAGAACTACAGCAAGCTCACCTGCAACAAATGTCATAATGTTTGTTCCAAAGCACTTAGGGCGCTTGCCTGCTTCTGTTGTGTAACCCCACAGGTTACTGATGTTGCAGAATTTGAATGTGGAACTTTTTTTGTTGTTTTTTGTTTTGTTTTTTTTTGTTGTTGTTGTTCTCTATGTATGAACAGTTGCTAGCTCTGCCCCCCCCCCCATATGACAGCAACTCTGTCCTCTTCATTAGACTGAGGTGTGACTACCTAATGTATGAGCTCACATTGTTTTCCAAAGGTCTGAATGTGCAGAGCTGTATTGTTACTGCTTATTATAGTAAACAATAATAATTTTATTTCCACTGATACACACTTGTTTACACACCA